GTAGACATGGGTTAATCCAACGCTAGACCCTTAGGAGCCCCTCGAGCGTTAGATCATGGTTGTGTGACACTTCATCTCATGCATGTTTTCACCTTTAGGGTTTTACCATGTTGCATGACACTTTCTTATATATGTACATCCTTTATCCCATATTCCCTTCTACTTATATCCCCTATTCCGTATTTTCCTTTATATATATATTCTTTACCCCTTTGTATGAAACATGACATTAGACTTGCTTTTCATCTAAGCATTAGACCTAGATTAGTACATTTGCTTGATTAGACTAGGAAAAACCCCCTGGATATGGGATATGGACGAGTTTGGCTTCTCTAGCCTTAACACGCTCGCATTCCCTCTATTAAAGGGAACATTGAGTCACAAACATTAGTCCCCCGCACCATTATGATGCATTCCTTTAGGTCATACACATTTGTATATTATTATTTTCTTTACTTTTTCTTTCTTTCGAGTCTCATGACTTGCATTATTTGTGACTTCTTCGAAGAGTTTTTATTGGGCGTCACAATTAATGTGATTGGTACCAAGTAAGTTTTGAAGATACATTTCGACCCCCTGATACCCTCCTAGGTCTAGGATTTGCATTCATATAGTACATCCAAATGTGATAAATTTTTAGGTTAAAATAAGAAAATTTTTGACTAAATCGCGCAACTAGCCTTGGCTAGGTTGAAAGGGTGCCTTGGATTCTTATCCTTGCCTTCCCTTTCTTCAAATGTGACTCCCAAATCTTTTTCTCTGATTTTCGTAGACTTGGAGTCGTTTAAAAAGGGTTCAAATTCATTTTTAGGTGACTTGGTACACCTTAACTCTATACCAAGTGGCGACTCCATTTTTCGTTCAAAAAACCCTTTTTAAACTACATTTTGGGTCAAATCGTCGCATTTTCAAGTCCCATTTAGACCCAAGTTTTTTTCAAAAATTCATTTTCCAATAAAAAATTGAATCAAAAGTCATTTTTTCTAAACTCGTCATTTATTTTATTTATTTTATAAAAAATGGGGCTCGATGGCTGGCGACTCCACTGGGACTTAGAGAGTCCGAACAAATTTGATTTAGTCAATCCTTTTCTTTTTTTAACCTTTTCATATATCGCATTTGGATGTTTAGGGTTGCATTTTTCCTTTGTTAGGATTTTTGCATTTCGCACGTATCAACTCTCTCCCTCACACATTTGCGTACGATTGATTTGACGGGTGAATGATTTATGTGAGTGATCTCGCGCTTTGTATTGCATTTGGGTAGGGGGATATTACCTTAGAGCCTTGCGTTGGTTCTCGATCTCTCCCCTCCAAACGAAGCACTTCATACGTGCATGTATAGTTTTATTTACCCTATTTTTTTTCTTTTTCGTGGGCGCCATCCCACACCTCCTTGTAGGATTAGGATTGATTGCCTTGGGTAGGCGGATGGTGTACTCTGCGTCCATAGCGCTACCTAAGGGATCACTCGAGCCACCGATCAAAGGCCCTGGGAGTGATGACCCTTCGCCTTTAGGTCTGAAGGCTTGGGAGCCGAAGCCTTATTGAGTCTAGATGCATTAGTGAGCCAAACCTCATGCATCCATATTAGAATTACCTAGGGTAGAGTCGACCTTACCCTATTAAGGACACTATGCACGAGGGGAGGGGTCCTACCCTTTTTTCCTTACTTATCTTTGTTGCTTTTTATATCATCTAATTGCCCAACGTCTTATGTGATTATGTGTTGAACTGACGTTTCATTGTCTCTTGTCTTTTGCATTCACAAACGTTAGGAAAATAAGAGGTCTAGCATGATCCTCTTTTAGGACCAACCCTCATAGATAGGCTATTGCACGTTTAGAAATTTCGGTATATTTCATTCGTAAATTAATAATGGCATGTCATTTTTAGGCCTACCCTGCCATATTAAAGGGTTCCTTATGTCACGTTTTCATGTAAATTGTATATTTTATTGCTTTAATAAACTGGCATCATGCATCCACCTTAGAAGGGAATGTCATTTAGGGGATCCCGTATTATGAACAAACCGCCCTATATCTCGGATATATAATCCAATGAGACTTGCACGTTTATATTTCCTGTACTGTCCGAAGGGGGAGTGCACAAGGTAAGGTAAGATCCGATCTTTTCAAAGACGGCAAAGCAATTTTTGCACATTGGAATATGGGCATCTAACACTCATTTTTTGGCCATTTTTAACAAAATTAGTAAGCAATTCCCTTGCGTAAAGGACTTTAATTTGAAGAAATTCATAAATAATTTCCCATTGTTGAGACGATAAATATATGGAGGCCAAACCTTGATTTTAGAAGGCTCATAGACTAATGCATCGCAATGAGTTTTGAAACTACCAATGGGTCGACAATTCAATTGATTTTCAAATGAACCATCAAATTCATCCAGTCCATTTTATCAATCCACTCATTTTTAGGGCAATCTAGTCGTTGTTGAATAACTCATCAATTTTGTCCGCTCCATTTGACCAGTTTACCTGTTTTTAGGGCAATTCGATCGATTTTGAATAAATCATTATTTCACTCGATCTGTTTGGTCAATTGATTTCATTCAATTCATTTGATTAGTTTACTTCATTTTTAGGGTTATCCATTCAATTTTGAATAAATAATCATCAATTTCAATCAATTCATTTGACCAATTTACCCTTTTTGGGTAATCTGGTCGATTTTTGAATAAGTCGTCAATTTCATCCTATCCATTTGACCCGCTTATTCCCTTTTAGGGTTTAAGTCTAAGGTTCACTGAATAAATTAGTCGAGACATTGCAACCCTTTCAAGAGCAGGCTCTTTTGCACATCATGCGTCGATCAAAACAAGCAATCCATTCGGACTTTGTCCTCATTTTTAAGACAAATGTCTCTTCTCACTCCAATTGGCCAAGTTTTCAAATCATTTTTTCACTCAATCAGTTAATCGGATTCATCAGGTATGGTATAGTGCCTACCTCAGAGGATTACATCATGTTAGGCTTACCCTTGGCACAAAAAGGGTCCTCCAATAGGACATGCATCCGAATTACTTTAATTTTTACTAACTCCTGTCTTTTTCTTTTCTTTTTGACAACAGTCAATCAAGAAGGGCATCTAATAAGGGTTTTCCTACATTCTCAAGTAGTAATTACAAATATAGCTACCCGAAGAAGCCCCATTATCACCCGATCACGTAGCCGAGCTTCAAGAGATAGTGTAAACATGAGTACCCATCCAGAATCATCTGATAGGCCCGCAACCACATCACCGATTGACTCGGCAAATCTGGGAGCTCAACTGAGCGAAATTCTAAACCGATTTAATGAGCTAAGCGTTGAAATGATGGCCCAACGGCGCGTAATCGATCAACTGGTAGCCGGTGGTGCTAGCGGTGAACAACATGAGCCCTTACCCCCTGGCCAATCTGAATCTCAAGCCATATTCTTACCTTATATTCAAACCTTTGTTACTTTCCAAGTTATAAATCCACCTGAAGAAGCCTCTCCCTATCCCACTCATGGCCCACCACCTACTTATGCATCTAACATCCAAATTAACCCTTCTCATGCCCAAATTCTCCAAAGCGCCAATTGCTATGAGCATGCTATTCGAACCTCAGGGACCCCATTATTACTCTACCGCTGAGCCATTTACCCTAGATACCGCTGCCCAAGGAAAAGCTGAAGTTGGGGAATCATCTGCACCAGTGGATAAAAACTTGCTAAAGAGATTGGATCGGTTTGAAGAGTTCATAAGGAAAAACCAAGGTTTGAACAAGTAAGGAGGTTTGGATTACAACGAGCTGTGCCTGTTTCCGAATATGCAATTGCCAATGGGTTTCAAAGCACCCAAATTTAGCAAGTATGATGGAACTGGCAATCCCAAAACACACCTTCGGATGTTTGCAAACAAGCTAGGGAAGCCGATAGATGATGAGAGTCTACCTATGCGCTTATTTCCCGAAAGTCTAGAAGGCGACGCGTTGGATTGGTATTCCAATTTGAAGCCTGAGGATATGAGATCTTGGATGGATTTGTCAACTGCTTTTATGAGGCAGTACGAATATAATTGCGAGCTTGCTCCAATGAGGACCACATTGGAGGGGACTAAGAGGAAACCATCGGAGGACCACAAGACGTATACGAGGGATGGAGAAAATTGGCTGCCAAAGTGGAGCCTCCCATGACTGAAAATGAGATTGTTCGCACGTTCATCAAAGCTCATGACCCGCCCTATTTTGAGGAAATTTTTCGAATGACTGGGTGTTCCTTTGCCGAAATTGTCAATAAATTGGAAGAATTTGATGAGTTTGTGAAGGCCGGAAAAATTGTTAATGTGTCAACATTGAAGATGCAACTAGAGGCTCTGCAAGGCCAGAATAACAGTGGGAAGAAATCCCAATTTAAGGGTAAAGAAGAGGAAACTGCTTTTGTTGGGGATCAGTTTGAGATCCCGAAATTTATTGGGTTTTTCATGATCTTGTTTTAGAATTGAAGGTATTATGTTTACTTGTTACTTGTTTCTTAACGACTTGTTCTGATGAATTGTAGCCTTTTGAATCTAGTTTTCGACACCATAAACCATTCTCAATTTGAACTTGTATTGAGTGAGTGATGATCTGAATAACCAATACCAAATTAAAACCATTGCTGCCCTGTGTACGTTTAAGAGAGAGAAGATCAATAGCCAGAAATTTCCACCTCTTCTGAAAAGAGTCTTCTAGGTGATTCAAATGAAGAAGTTTTGAGAGCATTCATGAAATTTGTGGCCCCCATATAATTCTCCTTGGGATTCTACCTTATATATTTCTTCAACTTTCATGCAGTATCTTTCCTTGCATCTATATATATTTTGCTTGTTTAAATCTTGATTTTCTGATCGCTATTAACCTCATTTTTTATTTGGATTCAGCTGTCTTTGTACGGGTTGTTTTCTTATTCTCAAACGCTACAGTATTGGGATTCATCTACATTTAGCTTAACGGAAATTACTGCAAATTTGAGCAATCATGTGTGCAGAGGAAGGTACTGTGGAGCATGATATTAAAACCAAAATTATGGATTACTTGAACATTCCTGAGAATGAGTTTGTACTTGTTTTTACTGTTAGTCGAGGATCTGCATTTAAATTGTTGCTGAATTTTATCCTTCCCATTCGAACAAGAGGTTGTTGAATTTTTTGGACATATACTGATATACATGGGACAGCATCAGCAGCGGAAGCCTACCTTTTGATATCTTCTTTTGAATTTCATGTTTCTTTCAAACATTATGGGAAAAAGTCCAAAGGCTCTCTTACTTTGGCACAAATCAAATACAGCAACTGTAGTCACGGAATCAAAGAATATATGAACTCCTTGCCCTCAAAGGTCTAATTATATTAGCAGAAATGTAAACAAAAATATCAAAATCAATTGAAGTATAAGCACAAAGTATTATTCCACTTAAAGGTCTAATTAATCCATGAACGCAATCCCATTGTCTCGTCCTCCATTTCTTCAGAAGCATCTTCATTCAATTTTCCCATTTTCAACAACTTGTTAATCAGAATCATTATTATTTTCAAGTTCTTGTGCCTACAAAAACGGACCCAAAGTTAGCAAATATATTGAATTATAATTGTAAATTATCAAACTAATATATATAAGATTAAACAATTAATCAAGGTTTTTTCTTACTTGGACAAAACTTATTGATGCATGTTGTTGTGCTATTGAACTTGAAGACATCAAATCATAGCCTGTTTTGCTCCATTGTTAAATCATGCTCATTGTTCCATCACTTCACTTCTTCTTGCTTTTTCCCAATGTAAGAATTTGGTTACATTCTTTACAAGACATACTACACATTGACATCACCGAGACAAAACAAAGAATTTTCTCCCTTAGTTTAACCCCATGTTGTCACAATTTTGCACAATATTTTACGTCACACTCAACATCCCAACGACTTGAGGAAGGTTCATTTGGAAAACACTACCAATACTCTTTTTTTTTTTTCAAAACTACCAATACTTTTGTGGCTCAAAAAATTACTAGTCCCATGTGAGAGAGTCTGAGTCCCCATCGTGGATGGATACTTGATATTGAATTTCACGGGTCTTATAAATAATAATCATAAACAAGAGATAAGAGTAGTAAGACCAAGGTTGCCAATTGAATTCACAGTCCCTATCACAGATCAAAGGACGAAATTTCAGAACATTCAGTAAAGTATCCACGATGCAACCAATCAGCAGTTTCACTCAGTACATTCAACAATCAACCGCCCAAATATCCCTCCACTTTAACCAGAAACAAAACCCACCTAACGCCATCCATCAAAAACCTCAAACAATAAAAAAATCACTACAAATGGCATAAAAAATAAAAAAAAAAACCGCAACCGAGAGAACAAAAAATGAAACCGCAATAAACTCGTCCAAGGTGCACTAAAAAGCAATCTGGATTTTCTAGAAAGGCCAAAGATAAAGATAGCAGCTTGATACCCGACAATAGTTTCAATTCCTTCAATGGAGTGAATGCCATGCTTCGGAGCAGCGCATGTGACAATTTTGAAAAAGCCGTTGGAATTCCATCGATGGGTTGGAGGGGGGAAAAGGGAAAAGGTTTTGAGGAATCCGAAGGAGGAGGAAGAAGAAGAGTCAATGAAGCAGAGGCTGAAACGACCGTAATTATGTTTTAATTTTAATCGGTTTTGGTTATATTGGTTAAAGAGATTAAGTTTCTTTGCCCGATTAATCGATTAATTAACTTAATATGGTCCAAGTTGAGTTGTTTGAGGGTTTGGTTTATTAAGGGACACTTGGCGAGATTCTAAAGAGTGGGACAGAATGTGAGACAGGGTGTGGTACAGAAGATCCGTTGCCCCCCTAAAGTGGTCTGGAGTAGCAGTAGGAATATGAAAAAAAAAAAATCCGATGCCCCTCTTAAGCAGTGTTGGTGATCGGCATTCACAAGATGGAACTTTTTCCAAGTTAATCTCAATTTTTGGAAAAAGCTAACACCTTAAGGTCCCTCTAAGCTTCTCATGTGTGCTTTTTAACTAGTTTAAAAGAAATCTATCTTAGGCTTCAATTACACCCATCTCAACTAGATTCCATCATATGCTCTTTTTTTTAACACCGTCAAACTTCTTTCTTTCCAAGAAACGAGTGACCTTTTGGCGAGTTTCATTAGGTACTCATTAAACAAACCCTTTCAATGTTCATTTCTCAGTCCGTTCCTTCATTCAAATTCATATCTTTAGAAAGAATTCATTCCCTTTTTTTTGTTTGTTGCTTCAGTTTAGTACATTTGTACAAGTAATGATAGCAATGAAGGAGATGACGAATAAAACACATGTCCTGAAAATACGTTGCAAATCAATGTATCTAGAAACCAAATCCCATTCATTGTGCACATAAGCAATAAATATTGCCAGGATCATTCCAAAAACCTTGTAATTCCTTTTCAATCAGAAACAAATAGCAAAAGTTCCATCCACGCCCCTCTGAATTCTTTCACATTCTGTATTCAAATCTCAAATTTGCTTATAAGTTTCTTTTTCACACATAATAAGGAAACATTCCATGAATACTCCATTAAAAATCTTCCACATTCCGTATTTCTTTCTCCATTTTTGCTTCCAAAACAAATCTCCTTGTGACTTTCCATATTCTTCCGTTGAACCTTTAGGTTACTATAAGATGGTAGGAAAAGAATACCAATCAGATTCATATTTTCTCCAGGCATCAATCTTCTCAAAATTCCTAAACCATGGCTGCAAAGATTTCTGTTTTCTGTGTCTTTTCCACGCTAAGATTCCTTGTAACCTTGATTCTTATCTCTGAATTTCACTCATTGAAGGAAAAACTGGTGGCTTCTCTGTTGATTTAATCCATCGTGACACTCAAATATCCCCCTTTCATGATCCCTCCAAGTCACACTACGAACAACTGAATAATGCCTTTCACCGATCGTTCTCTCGAGCTGCATATTTCAAGAAACGAACTTCTCAATCTGATTCCAACCATGCACTGGATTCATCAGCACAAATCCAATCCTACATCACATCTAAGAATGGGGAATATCTAATGAAAGTATCCATTGGAACACCGCCAGTAGATGTTCTAGCAATTGCTGACACGGGCAGCGATCTGACATGGACACAATGCAAGCCTTGTAGTCAATGCTACAAGCAAGATGCCCCATTTTTCGATCCTCACAGAACATCAACCTACAGAGAAATATCATGCGAGTCTGCATCCTGTGCTGCTGTCGGAACTTCCAGTTGTGATGATGGAAACAATTGCGAGTACAGGTTGTCTTATGGAGACAATTCTTACAGTATTGGTAGTCTTGGTGCAGAAACGTTTACATTCAAGTCGAGTTCTGGAAAAAATATTTCGATCCAAGGAGTTGTTTTTGGTTGTGGGCACCAAAACGATGGCACGTTCAATGAAACTGCTTCTGGAATCGTTGGACTTGGAGGGGGAGCAGTTTCTATAGTCACGCAATTGAGCAAATCAATTGGTGGAAGATTTTCCTACTGCTTGACGCCTTTGGTTTCTGAATCAAACGTTTCAAGCAAGATCAAATTTGGCAACAATGCTGTAGTTTTGGGCTCTAACGTAGTTTCAACTCCATTGATCAAGAAAAATCCGGACACTTTCTACTTTATCAATCTTGAAGGCATTAGTGTTGCAGATAAGCAGATTGCATACAAAAATTCGTCCTCGTCCAAGTTGGATAACACCACTGACGAGGGAATATAATTATAGATTCTGGAACAACCTTAACATTCCTCTCAACAATTTTATGATGATTTGCAATCTACATTGAAGGAATCCATCAATGGTAAACAGGTATCCGATCCAAATGGCCTCTTGGGCCTTTGCTATCAGGTGGAGGATAACATCAAGTTGCCAAATCTTGTGGTACACTTTACTGGTGCAGATGTGTATTGCCTCCAACTAGTACATTCATTCAAGTGAGTGAAGGGACAATTTGTCTCACATTTGTTCCTTCCGATGATATTGCCATTTTCGGAAACTTGTCGCAGATGAATTTTCTTATTGGATATGATCTTATAAACCAGAAGCTCTCCTTCTTGCCAGTTGATTGTACCAAATATTAGTAGAGAAATTTGGTATGCTTTTAAAGCAATTGTCTGCAGTTTTATTAGATCATATTGTGATTCACATTTCACCGTCCAAATACTGCTGTATTTTTCTGCTATGCTAGTTTGAATTTATTGTGATTAATATTCCAAAACTCATCTGTTTTGACCCATCTCAAGCCAGATTGGGTCCTTTAAACTATACTTGTATTCCCATTTTTTCTTTAATTTTAAAATGAGATACTTTAATCCTTGCAATATAGAATTTGTCCCAAGTAAGTAAATTGTTTAACTGAACCTTAGATGTTATGTCTAAATGAGACAAAATTTTATACTTTAAAAAGGACAAAAGTGAAATGAATTTTGTACTTAAGAGATTAAAAATAGAATAAATTTTTATATTATAAGAATTAAAGTGGGCATATTTCATATTTTAAAGGGTAAACTATTCCATTTTAAAGTTTAAGAATAAAGTAAGAATTCAAATATAATTAAAAGGTACAAAGTAGAATTAACCTATATTGTATTTGTGACAAATGCTGCCGTGCTGTGAGATAGCATTGGAAATGTATGTTGAAACAAGTTTTATTTGCTTTAGATTAAAAGGGTAATCAAGAAAATTGGTTATGTTGAAACAAGTTTCTTTTCATCTTGGAATTTGGCTCCTCAATTTTCTGGTGAGTTTTTCTTTTGCAATTTTTTTTTAAAAATTTAGTTACAAGAACCTTAAAAAATTTCTCAGAATTTTTAAAATGCGTACTTTAAAATACTTTTAAAAAAAAAACACACTAAACTTTTTCCCTTCCTTCTTTTCTTCTTCTTCCCTCCCTTCTTCACCTCAACCGCCCACCACCAACATTGTCGGTGGCACTAGCTACTCCTCTCTATTTGCTTTTCTTTTTTTTTCTTTTCTTTTCACCCTCCCTCCCTCCCTATCCTCCTCGCTCCTTCCCTATCCTCCCTCCTCTTACTCTCCTCCTCTCCTCTTCCCATCTCCTCCTCCTTTCTCCCTTTCCCTACCACCTATACTCCCTCATGGAGGCAGGTGAGGGACGGGTGAGGGACGGATGAGGGAGAGGGATCGGTAGGAGAGGGGAAAAGGAGAAGGATGAGGGATACGAAGAGGAAGAGAAGGAAAAGGAGGGAGAGCGAGCAAAAGGAAAAAGAGAGGAAAAAACAAAGATGCCAATCCAAGGTGATGATGGCCAACGAAGGAGGCCGTGGTTGGTGGTGATGGGATTCGTGGCAGTGGCAAGGATGAAAAAAAAGAGAGAGAATGAAAAAGAAAAGAAAAAAAAGAAATTTTCATTTTTTTTACAAAAATATTCTACCACTTCTACGGTAAATTACTATAAAGTTTATACAAACATCCAAAAAACTCACCATTTAAGTGGGGCCTATGTTATGGACTTTCTTTTTTGGTTTTCCTTTTTGCTTATATATAACGATTTCTCTGTACAAAAATGTAATCATGTTACACGTTTGTCTTTCTTCTCACAAGATATTTCATTGGTTGATGAATGATTTTATTGGTCTAAAATGTCGAATTTCTTTTGATCAAGTGATAATCAAATAGATGCTGACAAGTGACTAATTTATGTTATATTTGAATGATATTTTTAGTCATTTTGGCAATATTGCAGAAAAGAAATGGAACATTTTGGCTATAATTGGTAAAATGCTTTTAAGTGATTAAATAAGGTTTTTGTCACTTTTTACTTGCATTTTGTCCATAATTTGTATAGGAGTTGGAACTATACTTCATTTGGATGAAACAGGAAGTTGACAGCTTTGACACATCTTTGTATTTCGGCTATAACTTGAGCTATAATGATCAGATTGAGATGATTCTTGAACTATTTTGAAGATAAGAGATAGAACTACAATTCATCGGGAGACATCAAAATCCAGTTTGAAGTTTTCCAGGTCAAAAAGCCGAATTACAGTAGCTAATTTTCTATGGTCGAAGCTAAGACAAGGCAGTGAGCAGTCAAGGGTATTTTTGTCATTTGTCCACCTACACAAATCCAAATGAAATGGTTCTTGATGCATTGGAAAGCTAACTCAAAGAGCTACAAGTTTTATGTTTTGGTCAAGAGTTAATTCAGCTTCTATCATTGAGAAAAGTCCAATTGAATTTGATAAAAAATTGGAATGCCTTGAAGACTAGACAGAAATTGCTAAGTATGGCAGGGGAGCAATCCGGCAAGATGAAGGCCGGATTTGTGCCGGATTCTAGTCAGAAATGGCTGCTCTCCACTTGCACAACTTGTTTCCTCCTCCAATAATTCACAGCTATTATGGACGTGTGACAACAACTTTGTAGCTGTAAAAGTGATGTTTGAAGCCTCATTTCTTGACTAAATCATCTATAAATAGCCATGGACTTGCAAGGATCAAGAGAGCTTGGAGAGTGCAAGAAATACCACAAAAATGTAGTTCTTACATTTTCTTAGTGTTAGGTTAGTATAGTATAGGATAGTTTAACTAGTAGTTCATCCTTCTTGTTTATTAGCTAAGCAAAGATGAAGATGGAGATGAAGAAGGCAAGGAAAGAGCTTATATGACAAGGGTTACTTTTCCTTTCCAACTATTTATCTTTTGTACTTGATTCTAAGTTTAGTTAATATACAAGTTTGGATTCTATGTTTATTATGTGTGTCTAAAGCTTATGCCTTGGGTTTGGTTGAACTTTTGTGATTGTTGGTGTTTATTTTTTGGCTATTTGATGCTATTTTTGAGCAAGTTATTTAGCACTTTAGCTCTTTAAATCATGATTAATTTGGTACCATATAATCGTGATTATCCAAAGGTGTTATTTCTTCAATGAAAATTCAGATTTAACATTAGTTCAAGAAGTGTTAAACCTAGGGAGTACACTCACGAGAGTAGAGGTGCACCTATGTTGCTTTAATGATTCATTTCATATAATTTCATAGAAGAAATGAACTTGTAGCTAAGTTCATAACCACGAGAGTAGGTATGGATTAGTTATAAGTATAGTTGATTCACTACGAAAGTAGGTATGGATTAGTTATAAGTATAGTTCATTCACTACGAAAGTAGGTTTCACATACATAAGGAAGTTACGCCAAAACTAGCCCAGATAGTAGTATTGAATGATTCAAAAATAACACTTGCATGAGTAGTTAGGAATATCATGACCTAAGGAGCTTTCATTTGTTTTTATCTTGCATAGGTTTAGCATAGTTTTATCTCTTTTAATTCATTGATTTTCTAAATGATAGAGAAACTTTAGTAGTGCCGGTAATTGCCCAATCTTCCTTGTGGGATCGACCCGATATATGCCCTAAACTACTAGTTGACCTGTATACTTGCAGTCAAACGGGTATAAATTGGTTTTAAACTTGTATTTGTATTAAAATCCCGTCAGATGCTTTTAATATCTCATCAACAAAGAAAAAGCTATGTATTTCCAAGGCATTATAGATGCAATGTTAAAATCAAATAACTAGAAGTAATTAATCACAGCAGAAAAGGCAAGGTAAAGCAGAATATCTCGAACACATGAAATAAAAACCATGTGAAAAATAATGCTGGCAATATTTGCCAGAGCAAAATGTAGCTTCCAGAGCAGAGTTTGCATTAAAAAAAAAAACAATTTTGTCCATCATCAAACAGTATTGTTTTACATAGCTAAATAATTTTGGCACAGCATGCATTCATTGACAAAAGTTTCTCACTTTAGCAACTTGCACTAGTCAAACATTCTTGTTCTTGTTTTCTGTGAGGACTTGAAAATTCGTTTATTTTTTATAATTCTCTTTTATTTTGAATAAGTTAATTTATATTTTCTTTAATACTAATTTGTTTCCCTTAATAGTTGTAATAAATAATAGAGTCGAGAGTTTTGCTTTTACTTTTATAGTTAGTGGATGCCCCAAGGTTTTGGTGCATTGGAGTAGTGTGATCAATTGGTGAGGTGTGTGCACTAAATTTGGTTGATTAGAGTGGGTATTAAGCAAGAGAAAGTATGTGATTAATAGTGCTATGAGTAAATTAGTGAATCATAAGTTAAAAATACAAGAGAGACAAAAAATAGGCTTGAATCGAGTCGATCTGCTTGTTACCGGTCAAAGACACTACTTGACCAAGATTTTATTTCTTTAATCTTCTTATTTTCCTTTTGTTTCCCATCCCTATTTTTCCTTAGCATGTTGGCTGAAATTTTTACTAAAAAGAGAGGAAAAGAAAAAAAAAGCAAACAAGGAATGGTTGGATGCCAAGTGTTGGCCATCAAGACAACCGTTGACCAAGAACCTTTCTTCCATCTTTATCTTTCCTTCACCGAAAATTCCCTCACTTTCAGCCCTTCTTGGCCGACTCTTAGAGAGAAAAAAAGAGAGAAGAAAACTTCCATTTTCACCTTGCTTTTGCCTTGATTGAGTGAGGAATCAACAAGAACCACTAATCTAATCCGAAGGAAGTTTCAGCAAGGTGACAAGAAGGCTTGTAGTGGAGTGATTTGGAGAGGAAAGATTGGTTTTTCATTTTCTCCTAGAGGTTTGAAGGTATTAAGTTGGCAAACTCTCCTTCTCTTTCTTATCTTGCATTTTATTGGGTAGATGACTTGAATATAGAAGTTTTATGGAAGATATCATGGATTTGTGAAGATTGGTGAATTTTCCAGCTTTG